CTTTTCATCATGCAAAAATTTGACTAGTGGTCTGGTCGAAATCTAGAACTGCTCAAGACAGTTCAAAGTTTGCACTTCAATGCAACCGGTATGCACATAATCCGGTGTTAACCGAGTTTTGAGGACGCCGGCGTGTTGGGTACGTCTTACACTGCCATGGCCAAGATCAAAGCGATCAACAGGTATATCTGGATTCTAGGCCATCAGCTACGCGCACAGTGAATCAGCATGTGTGCGCGTGTGCGAAACGAATGAGAGCCTCTTAAACGGGCCACACGGTTGACCAACACGGGGGCTAGATCAGACTAGGCAGGCGTTATCGGAACTGCGTACCCATAACAAATGCCAACATCTCGGGGTGCGGTGGCAGACTTGGATGTTGGCTTACGTCGCGCACATTAGGATCCCCACCTTCTCCCCGCCCCCCACGTTTGTGGGCGAGGGGGTGTAAAGTGGTACACCTAGGTGTGGGTCCGGCCGTGCCCTCCACCTGCACCCTCTCCCGCCTCCGGTCTTGCTGACTTGGTCATGAAACCGGGCCCAGATGAGGGTGGGAGAGTGTCGTAGATGCTATGCAAGTCCACTAACACTAGGAGCTAACTCACGAACAAGTCACCGTCCATGCTCTCGTCCTGCTGTGTTGAGCACACGGTGGACATTGTCGATCACAAGCGTGGAACTGTCGTGTGTGAAAGGGTCGCTATCATTGGGTGACATCGTGATGGAGAAAGTTTTGGAAAACCGCTGTTAACCGAGTTTTGAGGACGCCGGCGTGTTGGTACCGTCTAACACTGCGATGGCCGAGATCAAAGCGATCAAAAAGTATTATCTGGATTCTAGACCATAAGCTACGCGCACAGTGGATCAGCATGTGTGCGTGTGTGAGACGAATTTTCGTCTCTTAAAGGGGTCACGCAGTAGATGCGTCCGACCAACACGGGGGGAGGGGGCAGATCGGACTCGGCAGACGTTATCGGGAATGCGTACCTGTTATGGAGAGTACAAGCAGCGTAGGGCCACGGCCTAAGGCGCTGAACAGGGGACCAAGCCGGCGACATGAGACACGCGTGAAGTTAGACGGTCGACCGGCATGCACTGCAGCGCCGAGCACGTGTGGTGGCTTTGCACGTGCGCGGCCCAATCGATCGCTGGTTGAACATTCAAGACGTTACCACCGGGGGCTATCGCGCATACGCCATTGGTCGGAATGTTCTAGAACTCACAGGAGCCACTATAAATAGCGCACCTTTCTTATCAGTTGAACCCCCCTTGTGTCCGCAAGTTTCCAATAAAGTGCTCGTCGTCCGAACCGGCTCTCTTCCTTTCCTACCTTCCTTCCGGGTCATAACAGTACCGATAACAAATGCCAATATTTCGGGGTGCGGTGGCAAACGGGGATGCTGACTCACGTCGCGAGAGGGTGTAAAGTGGTACACCTACAGTAGGTGGGCTACCTCATGAAATGTCAACCGAAATTCAGAAATGCGTTTTCGTTTCGAAAAGATTAAGTAAGTGCGGCTGGAAAACTAGTCACCTTGCAGCATAATTCTATAATAATTCAGTTACCTCAGGACGCCGGCTTTCGAACGAACATATTTTCGGGGACATTCCAAAACGACTCGGTTAAACAATGACTACATTTAGTGGAATTCATTTTCCCCATTGATTTTCGATGCCCTTAAATATTCCACAATATTTCATGAAAAACATGCATAAAAATATTCATTCTTTTGCTCATTCGGTAGACAATTACGTCTTCTTCTAATTTGATACTCGAATGAGGGACATAATTCAGTTTTTAAAAAGTTTCTAATTGCAAGACTTAAATGCAGTGAAATAGTCGTTTATAAATCGTCATCTCTCTGCATTTACCAATGTGGCTCGTAAAGTTAACAATATGGATCAAATCCAGTGCTGAATTCTATGAACGTCATATGGTGTCCAATTAAAACCATAGAGAATCGTATGGTGTTCCGTACGCGGAAAATATATTGTTTGGAGTTTGGAACCCTGAATGCAAGTGTAACGGTATAGCGGGTTCAAAATTATTCGGGAATTGGAAAAGTTTTGGAAAGCCGAATTATACTCTTCTTTCGAGTATAATATTGGAAAAAGACGTAAATGTCTATCAAATGAGCAAAAGAACGAATATTTTTATGCATGTTTTCCATAAAATATAATTGGACTTTTAGGGGCATCGAAAATCAATGGGAAAAATTCCTGCTACATATGTAGTCATTTTTTACAGAGTATAGTATTTGCATGCAGCCGGAAGGAAGTCAATTCGAAAGCCGGCATCCTGAAGTAACTGAAATTATGGTAACAATTGGGAGATGGCACCCAAAAAATTCCGTTACCGATGAGAATATGCCGGAGGACTGCATGAATGTTCGTCCACAGGCTAATGAAAGGAATAAAATAAGGGTACTTTACTGAGGGCCGGAAAACTTTAAAAGCATACAATCCTAGACAGACAGTGTCATCAGCTAAGCAATTTCCCAAAATGGCAACTCTCGTCGGGGTCAAGTGCGCCGATGTTTTCAGTCACGTCCTCTGCGTTTATTGAACGTGCAGTTTTGAAAGCGAGGATACGAAGGCATAGAATCATGAACAGCACAACGTAGAACGTTTCCTTTAGTCAACTGCATTCCGCTTTCAATCCCCTATTTAAAAAAGCAATTAAGCAGGGAATACGAGCTGGATCGACTTAATATTATCTGCCTCTTCAAGTAAATCCGACACCGCGCACATTTTTGTTGCCATATAGTGATGAGGTTAAACTTTATCGTTCGAAAGGCCATTTTTGAAAAGAAACTTCTTAGTATTATTTATATTTATCCACGCAATCGAAGGCCCCGCCCGTAAAACCCCTATTACCACCTGTCCCGTAAGACAGGCTGCTTTGGTTGGGCGGATTTTTTGGGTGCCATCTCCTGAATTATTATAGAATTATGCTGCAGGCCGACTAGTTTAGCAACCCTACATAATTAATCTTTTCGAAACGAAAACGCACTTCGGAATTTAGGTTGACATTTCATGAGTTAGCCCACGGTGCGGGTCCGGCCGTGCCATCCACCTTCACCCTCTCCCACCTCCGGTCTTCATGCCTTGATCATGACACCGGGCCCAGATGAGGGTGGGAGAGTGTGGTAGATGCTGTGCAAGCCCACTGTCAGTATGAACTAACTTACGAACAAGTCATCGTCCATGCTGTTGAGCACACGGTGGACATCGTCGGTCACAAGGGTGGAACTGTCTTGTGTAAAAGGGTCGCTATCATTGGGTGACATCGTGATGGAGAAAGTTCTGGAAAACCTAAAGACATCAGTAGCGTGAGTACCTGTGGCAGACTTTCAGCACACAAACCACCAGACTCGGCAACGGCACAGCACATGCTAATGACCTGAGGTCCACTAGACCGTGTACTCTTCTGTGTCTTGGGACGCAACCTGAATCACAGCGTACCTAAAGACTAACGTGGCAAAAGGCGTTTTGAACAGAAAACCAGCACAAATGTTGGAAAAATCGAAATCATCTAAACACGCGTAAAAATCACTTAGCTGTGTAAAGCTCCCTCGTGAGAAAAGTCGCTTACCCACCGTATAACTGAGCATTGCTGGGGGATGTTTTAAATTCCAATGCTAAGATCACACTGGACAGTCAACCTCTCATTGTATATCGAGGCACGCATAATATGAACGGACAAATGCTTGGTTACAGTGAAACACCCAAAAGCTCGGATTCAAGACGTGGATCAGGAACATCGGATTCTCCCGGTCGTTTTCTGTCGTCACTCAGTCGAGGAAGCCTCAACAGATCACCGCATTTCAGTACACTGGGTTTCGGGTTTGAGACAAGTCCAGCTGCCGCGTCTTGTAGGACGTCGGAATTTGAGATCTGGTGTCGGAACAACGCGGATCAAACAAGCGGTCGCGACACCGCAGGGCGTTTGTTAACCTTTTGTCTGAGCTGGAGACGAGCAAATACGGCAATTCTGCGTAAAACATGCGTGGCTCTTGATATCATATGCCTCTCTCTCACTCACTCACTCATTCATGCTGGGAGGATATTGCTAATCACCTCCCCCCTCCCACATCTGGGGCCGTGCCAGGACATAGTCAGTGAGACCGGAGGAAAGAGAGGACGAAGGTGGATGACGCGGCCGGAGCCGCTCCTAGGTGTGCTGGAACACCCTACTCAAGTCCCACTATGCAGGAGTGTCATAAAGGTCACATTATGATGGAACTATTCCAGACGGACTCCCAGACCACCAGTCCGCCATCCCACACAAGCACATATTCGGCCAACTGCGAGGTCAAAGTTAGCCCGTCAGTTGGCAAGCTTCCAAACCACGGCTTTTGCGCACCATGATGGATTCAAGCACGTCATATAGCTTATAGTAAGGAAAATGCGCTGAGCCGTCGACCTCACTCTCCCTTCCCATTCTCAGGCCCCAGTTACTGTTCGAGCCGGTTAGTTGAGAGGTGTGGGGAATGGGGGCGGTGCCTGCGCACGTCACATGCACGACCTGGCCCACTAAAGACAACCACCAGGGGTTCGCACAAGGGGAGTTAAGCGGCGTACGTCTCAAATGAGTTAAGAAGGAGTCGTTGCAGTCTGACTCTCGACCCACCAGCCCGCTGCCACTCCACACAAACACACTCAACTGGGCAGACTGTGTAGAGTTACTTGATGCGCCAGTCGACAACCCTCCAAGCGGCGGCGATTAGCGCCCCGTTTTGGGCTCGGGTCGCAAATGCAGTAGAGGAGCCACATGGAGAAGGAGCCGCGACACGCACTCTCCACATGCGTGAGAGATGCCAGTGGTGTACTTGAGTTGTGTAATGATGTGCACATGAGGCCGGAGGGGCCCGTGCGGTGGCTGAATGCTCGAGGTCAATGAGGGTTGCTGGGGGTTACGTCGTCTGGTGTACGTTGGTGCTCTAGACACTGGTTTTGAAGTCTCAGTGCTATGAATCCGCAGGTGACCGACCAAGCCGATGCGTGAGGTGGATGTGCGGGGACAGTGTGGGCAGTATAGATCAGGACCTGCAGCATCGGTTGATGGTGGTGCTGCTGCTGCTGCTGCTGCTGCCGCTGTTGATCGTGGTGGGTGCGCGGGAAGATGGGGAAATGATTGGATCGGGGTGGTGGATGTGCAAAGTGAATCGATACCGCGGTGTGTTCTGATATAAGGGATACGCATGCGACTGAGTAGGCCCATGCGACAGATGGATGTGTGTGGACCATGAAAGTGGGTGCGGTGAGTGCATGATGGTGCTCTAGGCACTGGTTAGCCTGTCTCCATGCGATGGATTCGCAAGTGGCCGACCAGGCCGATGCGTAAGGTGAATGCACGGTCGCAATGAGGACATGTTGGATGGGAGCCCACATATCTGGAGAGGGGAGGTTATGATGAGGGAATGTGTTGGTTGTTGTCGGGGTGTCAGAAGCGTTTTGGCCGTTGGAGGTAGATGTGGCAGAGGTAATGGAGGTGGTAGTGATTGACGTCAGTGTGACAGGGGGATTTGAAACAACGTTGGTGAGGGTGGGCGTCGACGTGAGGGTCGGAGGAGGGCGGTGTATAATAAGTAGCACACGACAGAACGATACAAAGCAGAGGGACCTTAGTAAATGAGACAAAAGCTTAATTCCAAGAAGAAAATGTGTCTAGAAACGTGCGACCATGTTCTGTATTCATTGTCTGAACGGTTGGTCGTTCCCAGCCCGAGTTCCTTAGAATAACAATGATGTACGTTCAAAAAATCAAGTTTGTTATAATCGTCATTCTCGGGGGGAGTCCCGCTTTAATTGACAAACGTGTAATGTAGCAGGAATGACGTTTATTTTAATCCAGAAGACGACAACGGGTGGAATGTGAGACTGATTTAGAATCTGAAAAAAAGTTCTCTAGAAGCCCACTGACTGACGTACAGGCACACAGGATAAGGTGTTTTCGTCGCCCAATCGTAGTACATACGACGTGGTGTTGCCGGCTTTGGGACGCAAACGATTGGTCGTGGGCGTGCGCTTGTGTTCGCTTGACCGGAAATCAGTCAGGCTACCCGGCGAGAGAGAGAGTTGACTTTCTCCATGCACGCCTACTATCCAGAATTAATTAGCGGAGAAAAAGACCTTGGGCTCTACCGGTGACCGCTGTACGATCATGCCGACTGTAAGCGAGGATCCGACGCGCATGCACCTAATTATACGCGGTCACCTGTTAAGAGCACAGACTCCCTCGAAATCGTGCAGAGGTCTTCATTCTAAATGGTCTGGAAATCTGACAACTATTAGGCTAGAAAAACTAGACGGAGCCCTTCTCAGAAGATTACGTCAGACCTACGGGGGTCTGGAAAATGAGCGAGCAGCATAAAAACTGGCAGTCGATGCTTTTCTATTTGTGGGTAAACATGCTTGAGAATGAGTATTCTAGGTGCCGCTGCCCTCTTGAGCGTTTTGAGCAGAAAGTACGTCTTTGTGGAGTTTCCTGACAGTGTCATCGACGCTCTACCCACGGGAAGAGTAGAAAAGCACTCCTAACAGTAATTATTGCCCTGTTTGACAGACTTAACGGGAAGAGATAAACTTATTTTCATGCAGGAAGATGGGGGTGACATGACCGTTCTGCTAAAAATCAACTTCGACTCAGTTCAGATCGCAAACACCGTCAACACCAGACACCGCCAATGGCTTGAAATGGTTTCAAAAACAGTCAAAGGCGTCTTTCTGAAGGACCACATGAAAATAAAAAAGTTGTGGAACAGGGAAATTGGATACACGAAGATAGACTGGTATATTTCTAAGCGACCAATGAGATGGCGTCTTATCCTGTGCACGTCAGGAGAGTACCGAAGACTGGAAGACCGTGATGATCATTTCAAGCCCATTATCCGTCACCAGTCAGTCAAACCCAAGTCTGAATAGTCTGGGAGTAGAACCCATATTCTTGGACTCTTGGAAATTTTGAAGTCCAGCGCCGTAGCACTGAGCCACCGGCCGGCTGTCCGGTCGGATGGGATATCGAAAATATTCATTATCATAGGAAGAGTACCGACTGAGCAGGTTACGGGACGTGTTCGCTTCCCCGTGTCCTGACGCTCAATATAGTAATGTCTGCAGGCTATCCAGACTTGAGGCTGGATATGGTTGATTGACGACAGTTAATAAGTTAATCTTGATCGACCCCCCCCCCGCCCCACAGCAGGGGAAAATAAGCAGATTCCCCGAGCTGATTGACAAACGCCCTTCTTCCATTAACTTAGTGAATTTATAAGTTCTTTTGTAACTACTGGATAAGAATAACCAGCGGGGGTTATACACCCAGTCCGGATAAGAGAAATCGTGGTTGCCGTACCCAATGAATTGCTGGGGAACGAACAGTTATCAGGCGCGAATAGGGATGTTCGGAAAGACAGGGACGCTAGTGGCCGTTTAAGCAATGAGAGATAAGAAAGCCGATTCTCTCAACATAATTCATTCCAAAGAGCCAAAAAAGGGACGGATAGAGAACCACCACAAATTTTCTTTCATTTTCTCGTCTACTAGATGAAGCATGTATGCAAGTAGTTGACAGCAAAATCCTTTTACGAGGGAAGCATTTCAGTTGCCGCTGCAAAGGCCCTTGTCCTACTGAGTTCACTACTTAAATATCATGCATAAAACAATCTGTATCTAGTATCGTACATCCCCATCAACCATCACCCATAAAACCCCTATTGCCACCTGTCCCGTAAGACAAGCTGCTTTGGTTAGGCGGATTTTTTGGTGCCATCTCCCGATTGTTGCCACAATCTGTTCTGGATAAGGCGTAAAATCCCGTAATTATGTCTTTAGTATAATTGCAGAAGAGCATAGTTCAACAGGTGAGTCGACAAAAAACAAAGCTTTGTAAAAAACAGAATCCCGGTAGGAAAAAAGGATTTAAAGGTTAAATAAAGCTGACAGGTTAATGCCGTCTTTTCCTTGTACAGTGGGTTTTGCACGCCGTGGTAGCTTTCCCGTAGACGAGAAAACGAGCCATTAAGGCTCGGTATAATGTTTTATAGAGAGTACTTTTATGCACGTAGTCTATTTAAGCGAAGCAATCTATTTAGTCATCACGAACCAGCAGGGCACCTGCCAGACTGGAAATTAGATTACGATCCCTCGGAGTCCTCTTGAAAAACAAACCGTCTTCTCAAGGTCAAACTTTGCTCATCCTTAACAACTAAAGCGCAGAGCAGTCTGCCATCTAATGATTGACTGCTTTGTGTATATTTTTATTTGATGTCTGTGGGAGCCATTTTTGCCTACATAAACTGCTAATGATCCACTTGGAGGTATGTACAGTTAACCAAAATTCTAGAATGCTCTTTTTCAATTCGAAAAGGTTACTTAAGTAGGATTGTGATTTAAATTATCGTGTAGCGCAACCAAAAAGTATTTCAGTCGTATCAGAATGCTGGCTTTTAAACTACCTTATTTCTGGCCCCCTGCATAAACTACGCTTTGTTAAAAATGGGCTATTTAAGTAGTGTGGACTTTTCCACTAATTTTCGGTGCCCTCACAAATTAGAATGTTTTGTAGCGTACCCAATTGGTAGAAAATTACGTCTTTTTTCCGAAGTTTTACATTAAAAGAGAGACTAGCATTCGGTTTTAAAAAACTTCTCCAATTCCCGATTAGTTTTTCACTAGACCTGCCGTTACACTTGCATTCGGGGTTTCCAGCCCACAAGCTGAATACTTTTGTGCAAGTTTACTAATAAAATACGTTTGAATTCATAGAGGTGACGCGAGCAATGAGAAAAATGACAACACTTAAGCAGCCATTTTTCACAGGACGTAGTTTATGCAGGCAGCAGGAAAGAAGCTGGTTCAATGGCCGATGTCTTGACGTGACTTAAATATCTTCGGATTATGCCACGCGGCAGTTAATATTAAATCCCTACCTAGGTAATCGATCGGAAGTTCGGTTAACATCTCATGAAATATCACATCTACAGTTTAGTATTATTTTTCGATTTAATATAATTTAAAGCAACTGTTAAAGCATTAGTGGAAAGCAACTGCGGTACTCGAACCGCGGAACAGGTGTTTTATTCTTCAGTTAGTTAGACCATAAATAAAGAACTCGGGAGGAATGATTGATTTGGCTACCGGATGAAAAGACCTAGAAGTTCCCTCAGGCTTCAGTACATAGGCATCCGTCTTCCCAATTAAGTCTCAGCTCCTACAAAGTAACTAAGCCAGCACTGACGTGGTGAATTTTCGACTCAACTCTCCGGGCTGTCATGACTCTGGCATGGGGCCTTAACTGTCCGCATCAGCTTGCTCGGCCACATGCTTCTCCATGGAAATTTTTTGCAAAACACCCCCGGTCAAACCACGTAAATCCGTCCGATGGCACAGGAAAGTGTACTCTTCGGCTCCACCTCCATATGGCTCCTATGATACCCATTCTTATGCTTTACGGGGTCCAGGTTGTGCGTGATACGCGTAGGCAGTCGTCCGGTAGCATAGGAAAGTGTACTCTTCAGCTCCACCTCCAATATGGCTCCTACGATACCCTCCTTATGCTGTACGGGGTCCAGGTTGTGCGTGGCACGCGTAGACAGGTCGCTTAACTGCGCCCAATCCTGTCCACGATCTTATTGACTCCGTCTTAAAACCGGGCCCAGAGGGGTGCGGGAGGAGAGAATTTGGTAGATTCAGCACAAGTCCACTATCACTATAAGCTAATTCACGCTCAAGCCGTAGTCCCTGGGCCCACCATGCTATAGGGAACACGCTGGACAGTCGAACTGTCGCCTGACGTGATATCCCGCTATAATTACTCTTGCACTACTTTCCGTCAATTCCAATCAGGCTTTCCAGTCTCAAGCCCTGATGCAAGCGGCAGGGATCGAATCTGCCATATTCACACGTATCCATAAACCCCCTTAACGTCGGTCTTCATAATACCCCCTCAGCGCAAACGGTGCCGGTGAGGTGAGCCAACTGAGCAAAGGCGTCCCCTCACCTTCGGACCACCAAGGTCACTGACAGCAATCTCGGTCGAAGACCCCGACTGCAGGTGATAATGACGCTAGATGCTCCCCCACCACCCAAGCGTGTCTGGTTCGCGTGCCAGTTACATGATCGCACGCGTGCACACCTAGTGACACGGAAGGCACACTGTGCGGCGCGTAAGCGGTACAACGCCAAGTCAGATGAACACACGGGCGCACACACACACATGTACAGGCTACAGAACAGGTGATCGACGGCTAAAGGCGATAAAGTGCACTCGGGGGTAACTGCGCCACCTTGGCAGAGGCTCGTGGGTGTGGAAACTAAATGCAGCAGGACTGTAAGTCAATCTGTCCGACTCAAAGCTATAAGTGGCGCCTGGCCCATGCACCCAGCCAGGTGCTGTTGCACCCATGCACACCACACACAGGCAACGTTTCACAATTTTTTGTACCTGCACTAGTATATAAAAAAGAAAAGAAAAAAGGAAGAGGAAGAAGACGAAGAAGAAGGGGGAGAAAAAGAAGAAGAAGAAGAAGAAGAAGAAGAAGAAGAAGAGGGAAGAAGAAGAAGAACGGGAGAAGAAGAAGAAGAAGAAGAAGAAGAAGAAGAAAAACGGGGAGAAGAAGAAGAAGAACGGGAAGAAGAAGAAAAAAAAGAAGAAGAGGAAGAAGAAGAGCGGGGAGAAGAAGAAGAAGAAGGAGAAGAAGAAGAAGAAGAAGAAGAAGAAGAAGAAGAAGAAGAAGGGGGAGAAGAAGAAGAAGAAGAAGGGGGAGAAGAAGAAGAAGAACGGGAGGAAGAAGAAGAAGAACGGGGAGAAGAAGAAGAAAAGGAGGGTGATGATGGTGGTGGTGGTGGTGGTGGTGGTGGTGGTGGTGGTGGTGGTGGTGGTGTTGGTGGTGGTGGTGGTGATGCAGGGATCTGAATTGGTGCGACGTGAACCGGAAACTGAGCCTGTCACCACACTCCGAATGTTGACGTTTGTTATGGGCGTGCACTTCCGATAATGTCTGCCGGAATCTGATCTAGCTCCCGTGTTGGCCTAGCAAATATACCGCGTGGCCCGTTTTAGTAATCCCACACCATCTTAAAAAAAAACAACACAAGGTGCAGCGAATAAAATGCAGCCATGGCTAGAACTTTCCTTAGTGGCTGAAAACGAAAATAAGCGCGACTTTGGACTTGGTACAGTAGGTGGGCTAACTCATGAAATGTCAACCGAAATTTCAAAATGCGTTTTCGTTTTGAAAAGATTAGCTAAGTAGGGTTTTAAAACAGAGCCTTGTGCAGCGTCATTCTAAAATAATTTGGCTACCTTAGGATGCCGGCTATCGAAATAACTTCCTTCCGGCTGCATGCAAAAACTGCACTCTGTAAGAAATGACTACTTATGTAGCATGAATTTTTCTCATTGATTTTCGATGCCCTTAAAAAGTCGATTATATTTCATAGAAACCATGCATAGAAATATTCATTCTTCTGCATATTCGATAGGAAATTATGCCTTCTTCTAATTTTATATTCGAAGGAAGAGTAGAATTCGGCTTTAAAAAGTTTCAAATTGTGAGATTCCTTAAAACCGTGAAATTGCCGTTCATAAAACGGCATGCCCCTGCATTTACCAATGTGGCTTTAAAAGCCACCAATATGCCTCAAATCCACTGCTACATGTTATGAACCCTATATGATCCCCCTTTATTACCGTAGAGAAATGTGTGATTTTCCGTATGTGGAAAATATACGGCTTGTAGTTTGGAAACCCTGAATCCAAGTGTAACGGTAGAGCGGGTTCAAAATTATTCGGGAATTGGAAAAGTTTTTGAAAACCGAATTATACCCTTCCGTCGATTATGAGATCGGAAGAAGACGTAATTTTCTACCGAATGAGTATGAACATTTTTATGCATGTTTTCCATGAAATATAATCGGACTTTTAGGGGCATCGAAAATCCAAGAGAAAAATTCATGCTACTTAAGTAGTCATTTTTTACAGCGAGTTGTTTTTGCATGCAGCCGGAAGGAAGTTCATTCGAAAGACGGTATCCTGAGGTGACTGAAATATTATAGAGTTATGTTGCAGGCTGACTAGTTTTACAATCCTACTTAATCGTTTCGAAACGAAAACGCATTTCGGAATTTCGGTTGGCATTTCATGAGTTAGCCCACCTACTGTGCCTACTAACATGAAGGTGGCTAACCTCCAGCCTGAGTGCTGAGGATTGATCTATTTGACTTCAGTGACGAAAGGCCCTTCGCGGACACACGGACAGCTGTGTACTGGATGTCGTGTAACGCATCTGCCTCTGTTTACGTTAGGCGAATGTGAAGTAGGGTATGGACGCCCGAATTAGAGGACAGAAAGGGGGACAACGCATTGACTCGAGATGTCAAGACTCCACAACAGAACGTGACATTGAACGTCGGTCCGCAAGAGTAAGCGAAATCCCCAGCGAGCTACCAAGTTCCTTTTTTCATGCATGTATACGGCGATTGCGGAAAACACTATGCCCCAGTCCGAAAAGCGCAGTTATCATATGCTCTGTAGCAGAGCTGTTGGAACTTTGTGAAACCAGTCATGAGGGCACGTTTGCGAACTGAATGTCTGGTTCTTCATTATTGAGTCAATAGATTATGACACAAACAGACATATAGTACCACTAAAAGCCATATGGAGACAGGATTCCCTGAGCCGGCTAAATTGTGATGCGAACGTGCCATTTCGCCT